CCACAAAATACCAAGGCCTGGGTGAGTCTATATTGAAGAAGTGGCATTAAAAGAAGTTTAAGCTTAAAAAATTTGGCTCTCAAAAGAAATCTCAACTGTTGTACTGTTGACTAATGAGTTTTCTCACCACTGCCCTAAACAATGTATTTAGTTGTTGCTTTTTTATGTTGAGGATGATAACAGAAATACTGAAACAAATGTGAACACTTTTTCTGACAAAAGAAATCACATGCAAAATAACTTGGAACCAGGCTAGTGGGTATTCACATTTTTATCTCCTTCTGAAACTATTTAATATTCAACACTATATAACAACTAGAGGCCCAGTGCACGGATTTGTGCACCAGTGGGGTCCCTTGGCCTGACCTGTGCCTCTTGCAATCTGGGAGCCCTCAGGGGATGTCGGAGAGCCGTTGCATGGATTTGTATACCACTGTGGTCCTTCGGCCTAGCCTACAGGGATTGGGCCAAAACTGGCAGTCCAACATCCCCTGAGGGGTCCTGGATTGCGAGAATGCACAGGCCAGGCCAAGGGGCCTCCAGTATGCATGTAAGATCTTTGGTTAATCTCTTCCCACCCTAACCCTGTCCCCCACTTCCTTCTGAGATTCATCAGTCTGTTCCATGTTTCCGTGCCTGTGCGTTGAGTGTCTGCCCCCTGGTGGTCAGTGCATATCACAGCTACTGATCGAACTTAGCATATTAGCCTTTTATATGTATAGAGAGAGGCTAAACTTAATAGAAATTATTTTTGCCTAAAGCCCTTGACACTTTAATACATATATCAGGAACAAAAATAAGAAGGATTTACAGAAACTTAGAAAGTAAAAATAGACAAAACAAATAACAGTGTTTACAATAAAAGGAATAATGCAGGGGATAATTGACAAAAAGAAAAAAGGCAAAACTGAGTATATAAATTGGTACCAGTTCATTGTTTTGCCTAATAATTAAGACTATGAAGCCCTAGCTGGTTTGCTCAGTGCACAGAGTGTGACCTGCAAACTGAAAAGTCCCAGGTTCAATTCCAGTCAAGGGCACATGCCTAGGTTCTGGGCTTGATCTCCAGTGGTGGACTTGCAGGAGGCAGCCGATCCATGATTCCCTCTCATCATTGATGTTTCTATCTCTCTTTCCCTCTTTCTTCCTCTCTGAAATCAATAAAAATGTATTTTTTTTTAAAAAAGACTAAAGAATGTTAGGAACCAATTTTATAAAACAAAATCTAGCTTACCTATGAAGTATATGATTAATACGATTAATACCAAAGATTACTCAGGTTTATAAAGGTTAAGCACCAAATTTGTAAGACTCAAACCTGATTTGTCAATTCAAAATAATACTGAAAAGCCAAAGTTGAAATCCTAGCTTTTATCAAGGCATAGTCCCCTTTCAAATTTGAGAATGACTAGTTACAAAAAAAAAAAAGTTTTACTCACTTGAAAACTTCTTTGGTGAGAGACTGGTCCAGCGTTTGAAACAAGAAATAAGACACTATTTGAAAGGCATCACGGTTTGGCTTGTCAAACATGTTCCTATTGGTTTAAAAAGAAATAAAGCAGGGAACAAAAAGAAAAATAGTTAACAGTGACAGATAGTTATCAGATTTATTGTGATCTCTTTGTAAGGTATGTTAATATTGAATCACCATGTTGTACACCTAAAACTAATATAACACTATATGTCAACTATAATTGTAAGTAAATTAATTTTCTAAATAGAGGAAAAACATTTTTTTAAGTTTCCATGCTTACTCATGTCAAACAACTTTTAGTCCTTGAAATGTTTGTATTCCTCCACACAAATCTTACCTCCTTATTATCTCACATTTAAATTTTTTTACAAAGTATCCTGCTTCCTCTATTTGACATTTTAATTTTTAATAATATCTGTTGAAGATATTTTTTCACCCACTAGACTAAAACTCTGTAATGTAAGTCTGCCTATTCTGTTCACTACTGTATTCTGTTCACCCAGTCCCAATACTGTGCTCAACTAATATTAGTACTTGTTGAATTAACAAATGAATAAATCACCTTTTCTTTCCATTCCCACTGCTACTTTGATTTAGGCCTACCTAACTCCAATGCCCTGAGTCCCCCTTTAATCCATTCTCTGTAATGCAACCAGAATGATTTTTCTAAAATGCAAATCTTTTGGGCAAATACATGACAATGAAATGGCTGTATTATATTATTTTTAACTTTCTAAGTGGCTACACAGCTACATACAGAAACTAGAAACAGACAAAACTGCACACCAAAAACAATGTATTTTACCATAAATGAATACATATGAACTAGTAACCTAGTACATAGATTTGTGTACATTGAAAGGAAATTAATTAGTAGGTGGGGGAGGGAGGGGGGAAGGGACTAAGCAAGACAGGCTGAACTCACCCTGGAGCTCACCTACGGTTCTTCCCCGGCCGGCCACACCTGGGGTGGCACCATGGCTCAAAGGGTGTCTGCAGAGTAAGCAGGGTCCCACTGGCAGGTGGGGTACCTCGGCCTGGCCTGCAGATATCAGGCCAAAACCAGCTCTCAGACATCCCCCAAGGGGTCCCGAAGTACAAGAGGGCCCTCTACAAAGTTGCTGTCGTACAGGGTGTGGAACGCAAACGCAAGTGTGCAGTAAACCAGATTAAGACCAACAGTACCCCAACAACAACATAACCCTCGGTGGACTCCCACGGCCCTGAGAGGAATCGGCCTCCTTCCTTACTGCAGCTCAGCAGCTTCAATCGGCAAGCATCTGCCCTCTGGTAGTTAGTGCACATCACAGCTATCAGTCAGACACTTAGCATATTAGCCTTTTATATATTTATAAATATTTTTCAAAATAGTTTAATGCCACCTTCAAGCTTAAAGCATTTCTAAGGGAACATCTGTTTCCAAATAGCTCACTGAAATCACTCTCAAGACCCAGAGGGAGGAAAAATCAATGACAGTGTTGAAAAAGAAAGAAAAACTGCCATCCCTGGACCAGACTTGACAGATTTTACTAATTTTTTAAAGGCAAAAGCAGATTACAATGGACCAAACCAGAGCAGAGCAAACTTAAGATTGCTAAAACACTCGCGAGAAGGATGTAGTGGCAATGGGAACCATTCTCAGTGGAGGCCTGGAGAAGCTGTAAGCTTCTTTGACAGCACAGAAAAAATGAGACTGCTGTGGGGTATCAAATCATGCAAAACAAATGATTTATTAACACATAATCATAGCCTGATAAATGCTATCTACTACTATCAATTCTTAGAATAGACTCCTAAACAAAACACTTCTACATGGAAATAGCAGTAACTTCTAAACAAATCGTTACCAAACAAAACTTAATTACATCTCTAAGCCTTGACAGTAAAACAATTATTGTATAATACAGCTGAAAAAAAAGTCAAGAGGGAGAAGGCAGAGGGGGGCAGGGAAGTGTAGGTGAGCTAAATATCTTATGGATAATAGTTTCCTTCCTGGTGAAATTACACAATAGGGAATCAAGAGACATTTTTGAGATTGATACATCAAGAAGTAGAGGTCTACACACATACTAAAACACTGCCACTAGAAGCACTGAAATAACATAATTAAGTCACGAAGATTTGAGAACAGGGGGTAGCCAGTGTAGCCCAAATTTCTCCTGGCCGATAGTGGGAAAATCAAATAATGTCTAAAATTGGTAAAGTAAGCCGTAGCCGGTTTGGCTCAGTGGCTAGCGCATCCACCTGTGGACTAAAGGGTCCCTGTTAGATTCTGGTCAAGGGCACATGCCCAGTTAGCGATCCCTGTGGGGGGCCTGCGGGAGGCAGCCAATTGATGATTCTCTCTCATCATTGATGTTTTATCTCTTTCTCCAGCTCCATTTCTCTCTGAAATCAATAAAAACATAGCTTAAAAAAAATTGGTAAGTTAAGACGCAAAAATACAAACAAAATACCTAGATTTACAATTACAACCATAACATTAGGGGCAAAGTAGGGAAGAGGCTTTTGCTTTTCATTTTCATACCTTCTGTTTTTTTGCTAAGCGTGGCGTGCCTGTTTGCTAATTCTAGAGTAAAAATGTATAAACCAAACAGCAACCAGCTTGAAAGGCTCCTTGGAGCGCTAAAGGCTTTTGCTACACTGTTCTCTGGTCCCTGCACTACCTCCTTGGATCTCACAGACCGCGCCGCTCGACCACCAAAGCAGGGTTAGGGGGCCCCTCCAGTTGCGCCCCAAATGCAGAGTCTATTCCCCTACAAAGCGCTCCCAGCTCGGCTCGGTTAAAAGGTCTCAGCCACTAGGCGGGCAGCCCGGAGGGCAGAGGCTTAGTAGCCGGTGCCCGGAAGGGAGAACCATCATCAGCCTACAATCGCCCATGAGCCCAGCGGGTCCGCGCAAGGGCGGGTCCTCCATCCGCCCGTCCAGCCTCCGGCTCCCCCGCCCCGCCGCCGGGCTCCTTACACTCCGAGGTGCGCGTGCGACGCCACCTTCCCGCAGGCCGTGGCGGCTGCGCCCGGCTCGAAGCCGAGCGTCTGCAGATACATCCAAAGATGCTCCTTCTTGAAAGAGGGGCCGCGGGAGAAGCTCATCCTCGTCGTAGGCGCTGTCACGACCAAGGAAGAAAGCAAAGGCCCCAACGACCCCGAGCGCCCTCAGGCTCCTTCCCTGCAGGCAGCCTGGGGTCGCGGCGGCCCCTCCGGCATTGCCACCGCCCGGGCCTCTCTAGTCCGGGACCATTTCGCCTCGCAGAGGCCGTGAAGTCTCGCGGAAGTGGAGCCTCTCTCACTGGACAACGGCACCGCTTCCTGAGCCGCCTCAAAACCAAGACTCCCGCGCTTCCAGCAGAGCGGTCCGCGCGCGCCCCGCCTGGCTTCCGGGGGGAGGAGGCGAGGCCGCGCAGCCGACTCTAACTCCCGCCATGCAATGCGGTCTTCCCTCGGGTCCCTTCCCGCCAGGCCCCGCGGAGAAACTACAAGACCCACACTGCATTGCGTGGCCAGCGACCTTTCCGGCGCCTGCGCAATCGCAATAGGTCTCTTCAGCAGCTTTTCCGCTTCGCGCTTTATGAACACAAGGCTTTGTTTGGGGCTCCTTTTGTGCCTGTAGACCTAGTTCCTCGGATGGAAGCTGGAGGCGCTGGACTGTGTGGCCCCTAGGAGTGAAAAAAAGCACTGGGTTCCATCCTCAGCTATTCTCACTGGCTTTGTGACCCTGAACAAGTCACCTAACCTCTGAGCCTAGGTCTAGGCTAGGTTAACACCCCTTTAAAAGGCCACCTTTTCAGGCGCCCTCAGAAATGCTACTACCATGGACAAAGCACACCTCTTAACTACTCAGTAATCCAATCATAGGGATTTCCCGGCCTTCCTTTTTCCCCCACCTTCGTGTAATCTTCTTTAGGTTCCCTCCTTAATTCCAGATATATAAAAGTAACTACTTAGGATGCCTGGATTTCATATTATCTCAGGACTCTAAATACTCTTAACAGCTGTCCAAGTGTTGGTGATTCCAGTGGACTGTATCTCTGTGAAAAACACAATTTTGCCTTTTTGTAATTCTATTTGAGCATGTTGGAAGTTTAATTAGCTTTCCAACCAACCAAATTTCTGCGTTCGAGTCTTAACAATATCTAAGTGTTACTGTGGCTTCAAAGAAGCTATTGATTCTGAAGTAGTGGGTTTTGACTGAGTTGACTGTTTTTAAAAAACTGTTTGGATTTTAATTGTGATGCAGAAGTTACAGTAACAAACATTTGGTTTTGTACAGACATTATTTCCACTCTGGTGGATAAGCTCAATAAAGATCAAATCCAAAAAAACACAAACTGTCACTCTCCTAAGTCTTTTCGATCTTGCTTTCCAGCAATGTTATCACTTTATCTCAAACTCATAAAAAGTCTCTCCAGGTTTGGACATTCCTTACGTTGACAAAATAAAACTCCAGTCCCTCTGCCAAAAAGTAACCATTATTGTCAGTTCTGTAGAAATCGCTTACTTTCCTTGTCTTGTAGTTTTACCGTCCCAGTGTGCTTCCCTACACACTATAATTTAGTCTTGCTCTTTTTATATTCGTCTTGGCTTTTGTTTTTTGTCTTTCCAAGGTTTGTTGGTTTGTTCTAATAATTTAATAATAAGAGAGCATCCTCAAAGTGCAGTTCAACATGTCCCACTCTCTCTCTCTGTCCTCCACATTTTCAAATTGGAACCTGGATCCAGAGATTGTTCATACTCATCTATGATGCCTTTGGCAAGATTAGGTGATGGTGCAATCCCCATCAAAATCCCGACACCCTAGCTAGTTTGGCTCAGTGGATAGAGTGTCAGCCTGCTGACTGAAGGATCCCAGGTTAGATTTCCATCAGGGCACATCCCAGATTTCTGGCTAGATCCCCAGTAGGGGGCGTGCAAGAGGCAGCTGATCCATGATTCTCTCATCATTGATGGATGTTTCTGTTTTTCTCCCTTCCTCTCTGAAATCACTAAAAATATTTTTCTAATAAATACCTTAATTCACTGGGAATTGCAAAATGATGCAATTTTAATTTGTCATTTGTCATGGACTGCATACTTGTGCCCATGTCCCAAATTAATGTGTTAGAACCCAAATATTATTGTATTAAAAGTTCGGAGGTATTTAGGATTAGATGAGATCACAAGGGTGGAATCCTCATTAATGGGATTGCTGCCCTCATAAGAGTCACAAGTCAGTATCCTTCCTTGCTCTTCCCACCATATGAGGCTAGAAAGAGAAGTTGACTGAAAAGGGGCCCTCACCAAAAGCCGACCATTATGGCACCCTGATCTCAAGCTTCCAGCCTCCAGAACTATGAGCTATAAATGTTTTTTGTTTAAACCACTTGGTCTAAGGTAATTTGTTGTAGCACCTCAAACTGACTACAGTATCATTTATTTTTCATTTGTTAGCGGCAATACTTTTATGACAGAAATTTTCCCTCATTTTCCATTTGTTTACCTAGTGGTAAATATATAAAGAAGGCTAAATTCTTTATTCTTTTCTTTTAGTTACCAGTATTAAGAATTGGTTTGTTATCCTCCCCTGAAGGTGACCAATTAGATTGAATATTTGAAGATTATGTGGGGTTCATATTTGATGGGGTTCAAGCTATTGAAATTATTTCTTTATAGAAGTTCAAGATTGCTCATCTTTGGTCAATGGGAATCTCTTCAACTTGGCTTCCTTGCTATCTGCAATAACAAAAAGCTCAAAGCTCACTTTGTACATTTCTTCAGACATGGAATCAGCCATTTCTCCAAGAAGCGCTGATTTCTTTTAGTGGGAAAAGGTATTTTGAAACTACAACCTGGCCTGGCTGATGTGGCTTAGTGGTTGAGCGTCAAACTATGAATCAAGAGATTACCAGTTCAATACCGAGTTAGTGCACATGCCCAGATTGTGGGCTTATTCCCCAGTAGGGGCCATGCTGTGGGTAGTGAATCAATGTCTCTATCCCTTTCCTTCTTTCTTCTCTCTAAAAATCAATAAGGACATATATATATATAATTTTTTTTTTAAACTACAACCTGGACACTAGGGATGCTTATTGCTTCTTGGTTGGCCATTGTTTCTACAGTTTACTTAACTAATACTTAAGTAATGCTGCTTTATGTCAGCCATTGCTCTGGGGTGGCTTTTTATTTTTTAAAAAATATATTTTATTGATTTTTTACAGAGAGGAAGGGAGAGTAATAGTTAGAAACATCGAAGACAGAGAAACACTGATCAGCTGTCTTCTTCCTGCAACCAAGGTACATGCCCTTGACCAGAATCAAACCTGGGACCTTTCAGTCCACAGGCCAATGCTCTATCCATTGAGCCAAACCAGTCAGGGCTGCTCTGAGTTTTTTTGTTTGTTTGTTTGTTTTGTTTTTACAAATTTCAATTGATTTTTGATTCTTTATGATAAACCTACTATTATTCCCATTTTACAGATGAGGAAATTGAGGTACACAGGAATTAAGTAACTTGTTTAAGGTCACTAAACTACTAAGTGGCAGAGCCAAGATTAGAATGCTGAGTCTAATTAAAAGTTCATAAATCTTTACCAATCATGATATGCTTTCTCCCAGTTGACCTGTTTCCAGTCATGTGCCCACACCTAGGCTAGGGAAAAGCAAAAACACTTGACTGAGGCACCCTCTCCCAATCCAAAAGGTACAAAGATTCTGGCCTGGCCAGTATGGCTCAGTTGGTTGGACATCATCCTGTGCACCTAGCAGGCGTCCTCAAACTTTTTAAAGTGGGGGCCAGATCACGGTCCCTCAGAGAGCTGGAGGGCCGGACTATATGAACTACTAATTCCTACTGTAACACCTCGGCTGCGCTCGCTGCCCAAAAAACCTGGCGGGCCGGATCAGACTCCTCTGCGGGCCGCATGTGGCCCGCGGGCCGTAGTTTGAAGACCCCTGATAGAGGTCATGTTTGATTCCCGGTCAGGGTACATGCCCGGGTTGCAGGCTCAATCCCCGGGGGGGGGGGGGGGGGGGAGGCGTGCAGGAAGCAGCTGATCAATGTTTCTCTCACTTCAATGTTTCTCTCACTTTCTCTCTAAAACCAATAAAAACATTTTTTTTAAAAAAGATACAAAATTTCTGATACCAAAAGAAGCAGAAATGAATACTGGGAGGCAAAACAAAACAAAACACATACACACAAAAAATGTTCACTCTATTAATACAAACACACACACACAACAATTCCTGATTATACCAATTTTTATTGCAGGCATTTTTTTTTCTTTTATCTTTTTGTGTGTTTTTTTTATTGCAGGCATTTTAATAATTAAACTTCATAGGTTTCTATTAAATGATATATGATACAGACTAGAATCTCATAAAAGTTTAGATCCAGGTTTCATTACAATTAAGCCCTATAATAATAATAAAAAAATAGACTAATCCCCAAAAGATTAATCTCCAAAGCCACAGGGATAAATACATAAGCAAACATGAAGTTTAATATGACACAAATTTTGTCTTCAGATAAAGAAATATTTTCTTGTTAGTTTTTCAACATTTCTCCCTGAGAGGAGTCAGGGTTATTAGCGTGTGAATGATTTGATCCTTCCTCTTCTTCCAAAGCTATAATATCTGGAATTTCATCAGTCTCCGATGCCAAGTCTATGATAGTAAAATCAAATGCCTGTAAAAAAAGAATCTTGGGTAGTAAAATGAACACTAATGAAGTAAGCTGTTAGGTTCAGATGAGTTCATGGAGACATTACTTAGTACATGTGGATGAATCTTACTTTGTCCATAGTTGTGTTTTCTGACAAGGTGATGTAGTCTTATTTCCCAAATTCACTCATATTATAAGAAGTACTTAGGATACTTCTCTTTAAAGGAACTTGACCAGTAGTGGACTTATTAAATGAAAGCTTTTTGAAAATATGAGATATAAAGCATTTCTGGTTTTTCATCTATTAAACTATTATTCTTTTTAAAAATATATATTTTTATTGATTTCAGAGACAAAGGACAAGGGAGAGAGAGACATAGAAACATCAATGATGAGAGAAAATCCTTGATCGGATGCCTCCTGTACATCCCCTACTGGGGATCAAGCCTGCAACCCAGGCAGGTGCCCTGATCAGGAATCAAACTGTGACTTCTAATTCATACATTGATGCTCAACCACTGAGCAACACTGGCCAGGCTAAAATGGTAAATTTGATGCTATGCATCAAAATAGTGAGAAAAATTACAATTTCTAAAATAGTAAAACAAAAACAAAACACACACACACACACACACACACACACACACAAGGAATCTTGCTTTGGTCATTGGGACCCCTTATCTGGCTGTGGCTTTACTGCACTTTTCCCATGTGCTCAGAGGATTGTCTGGTCTGAGGTACAAACGTCCACCATTTGTTCCTGAGGCTTTCACTTTGGAGAGATCAAACTGCATTCTAGCTACTCGTGAATGTTCGTTTTGCAAGGATGATATCCAACCCAACATCCACAGAAGTGAGCAATATTTACACTAATGGATCCAGAGCATCCAGCGAGGCAGGTCAACAAATGTAGTTTTAGTCTTTTTAGGTTAAAAGCTCTCCAATAAATGTATATTTTAACATCCCATATCACTTTGTTTTTAAATAAATGCAAAATACAACAGGAAGCTACAACACAAGAAGCTATGAGCAGAGGGATTTTCTGGGCTCCAGACAAGAAAGCAAGCTGTGGTTTTCTCCTAGCAAAGGCCTAGAGGCTAGAACAGAAAAAATACACACACTTCGACACCAGTAAGACATTGTGCTAAATTTCCACCCGGCCCCGTATCTCTTTTCTACTTCTTTCCCCACCTCTCAAGTGAGGCAAATAGCTGAGTGGATTGAAGGTGAATAAAGGTACTATGAACCTGGCTTACAAAAGGTGTTCAATAAACACTAGCTTTTCTCATAAGTTCCTTAAATGCCACCACACATACAAACCTTCACAGTCACCTATAGGCCAAGTAACTGTTGACCTAAAATAGAGTTCTGCAATTGCAAAGCTTGGAAATTCCACACCTACAGGAGAAAAGTTTCCATCACCACCACAAAAAATGTACCTCCACCCCGAGATGATTTAGGAGAGACATATGAATAATTCACCTTCCATATAATCAGAATGATTCTAAGTGTCTCATTTCCCTCAAATTCAAAGCCAGTGGAGGAAAAAGGGGGAAACGGAGCAGCTTAGAGATAGTCACAGCCTACCAAGTTTCCATGGTAAGTTTAAAATGTAGCCGAAACCGGTTTGGCTCAATGGATAGAGCGTCAGCCAGCCTGCTGACTGAAGGGTCCCAGGCTCGATTCCAGTCAAGGGCATGTACCTTGGTTGCAGGCACATCCTCAGTAGGGGTTGTGCAAGAGGCAGCTCATCAATGATTCTCTCTCATCAATGTTTCTAACTCTCTATCCCTCTCTCTTCCTCTCTGTAAAAAAATCAATAAGATACATTAAAAAATAAATAAAATAAAATGTAGTGGTTGTGCCTGACAATCGTCACGGGGTTTTCAGAAATGTGGCAGAAATCCTCTCAGATTTATAAAATAGATCCCTTTTTCATTGACCTGAACCAATACCAAAGGAGTGTAGGAGTCGCTTGCTGTGAATGCCCATCCGTGATGGAGGCCAAACTCAGATGCTTATTATGAAACTAATGAGATAATCATAGTCCCTCTCTGAAAAGGACAGGAAACCAGCAATACATTCTTTTCAAGAAAATCAGGTGACCTTGCTAGGACTCCCTGGACCCTGGGTACCTTTTGCAGGTTGTTCTCCATACAACCACAGAGGGCACCTTTCCTGTCACAGACTTCATTGGTTCGCATATTTACTATGACTTTCCAGAAGGTGGCACTACATGCATTGAGGATAACATACCATCTTGTAATTTGCATGAAGTTAAACTAGTGGTGACCTGGGGCCCTGGATTGGTGAGACTAATACAGAAATAAAAACATCATTTTTGGAATTTAACTTGCTAGCAACGCTGGTAACATCACACAGAATGATGATTTATTTTGAAATAAAGAATAATTATAGAAGAAATAATGAAAAGAAAAAGTATGCCCTAGCCAGTTTGGCTCAGTGGATAGAGCATCAGATTGAAGGGTCCCAGGTTCAACTCTGTTCAAAGGCACATGCCCTGGTTGTGAACTTGATCTCCAATAGGGGGCATGCAAAAGGCACCTAGTCAATTATTCTCTCTCATCATTGATGTTTAAATCTCTCTCATCCTTTCCCTTCCTCTCTGAAATCAATAAAAATATATTTTTAAAAATAAAGAAAAAGTAAAATTTTTGTTTGTATAAAAAGAATTCCTATGTTCCTGGCTATCACCCTTCATAATAGTTTGCATTTATAGCTTGATTATGTGCCTGCAGTTAGAGAATTAGTAACATCATGATTCTGCTTTACTCTCTCTTTACCCTTCACTTGAACAATTTGATACAGTTTGAGAGAGGGCACACCCCTGCCCTACAGTAGGAACACGCTCTTATACCATTGGCTAAAAAGAATCTGTGGAAGTAGTTAGAACTCTCAGGCTAGAAAAAGAGTTGTCACTAATCACGACACAATGCAAGTGATTCTTGCTACCCATTGAATAGCAATGAACTAGTCAATGCTAAACCTATGTATTTGAATCATCTATATTAATAAAAGAGTGATATGCTAATTAGACCAGGAGACCTTCCACACATCCTTCTGGACAAAGTCATGGTGGCGGGGCCGAGGCAGAGTTGGTTAGGGGTGATCAGGCTGGCAGGGGAGAGCATGGACACAGACACTAGTGTGGTGAAGGCCTGGGGCAGGCTAAGGGGGAGTAGTGGGGAGAGAGTCAATGGGGGGGAGGAAAAGAGGGCATCTATAATACTTTCAACAATAAATTTAAAAAATTAAAAAAGAACATGCCCTCAGGTGAGGATTAAAAAAAAAAAAGTTTCATCCAAGAAAGGGGGGAAAAAAAAAATATATATATATATATATATATATATATATATATATATATATATATATATATTTTTTTTTTTTTTTTTTTTTTTTTTAAGAAGTCTTCATCCCTCACCAGCCATAAAACATGACCTGGGCCTATCCCACTTGACAGCATTTCTTCCAGGAATCAGTAACTTCTAAAACATGGGAGAGCGACATCAGAATTTCAAAAGGTAGGCAAGGAGAACAGAGAAGACACCATAAAACATGTCTTTAGCTTAAGCTGATCTTATGCCTGTAGAGACTTCTCTCTGAACAGATGCTATTACCTTTAGACTAGTAACTTAGTTACTCAACAGTGGGCTGATTCAGTATCTTTTCTTTACCATATGGTTACTGTGGGATCATAAGATATCTGCTGGGAAGGTGGACACCTAGAGCATAAAGGTGTTGCCCTGAGACATAATAAGAAGTACTTTGGTTTACAGAGCAGGGATATCTTACAAGATCCTCACTATGCAGGCCTCAGTGCTCGGTCACCCCGAAACTGGGTAAGGCCCCACTGACCCACACCCAAGTCCATGAAGAGGCCCTCCTTGCCCTCCCCCACACCGGATAGGTAAGTGCACAGATATCTCCCTGCTCCTTCTTCCTTCCCTCACTACCACCTCCATGAGCTGAATGACAAAGAGATAGCTCGGGCAAACCAAACTTTAGTTTTCCCCTTTTCATTTTTTTAGTCTTTCAATATCTATCATGCCTTAACAAAATAGAAATATTTGACTAATCATGACCTCATAGTATATACTCGCACCCAAACTAGCAAGATATTACATGTCACTGTCCCACAGATGGTTATCCCCACACCTTTAGTGCAAAAATAGAAAAAGACAACCCATCTTCAAACACTTCACTTCCATCTGGGAAGGCATCATTAATTTTATGACAGATGGGAAAACTAAGGCTAAGAGATTAATGACTAGTTAAGTAATCTCAAGCGTCCAGTAAATGGGCAAATGAAGGCAATGTCACCCAATAAAATTCTTAAATGCCCATTAGCTTTTCACTTGTTTAAAACCTATCATCCAACATTCCATTTTTGATATTAGTCAGCCAGTGTTATCCCACTTCCAAATTCCCTCTAACAGGCCAATTGGAATTCATGTATGTGTATGAATAACCCTGTCATGCAAGGCCAAGCTGCTCTGCGAAAGCAACATACAAAGCACATGGGACACACACAGCATAAAACTGATCTATTCTGCAGTGAATTTTATTGAACTCACAGGAGACATCCCTTTATGAAAAGTTAAAAAAAAACTAAAGTACAAGCATGCATTGTGAGACAAAACAATGAGGAGGCCTGCTCAGATCAAACGGGAGCAGACGCCAGTTCACACGCCAACCCACGGGAAGGTGTTTTTATTCAGTACAGACAGACAGCAACAGTGGCAACAGAATGAGACCATAAATGCAGTGTAACTTTTTGTGACCTCTGACTAGGCTCTGACCTATCATTTCTTTTCTTACCAGCCAGGTAAACAGAATGACTCATTTGCTAAGGCCAAAAACTTTCAAGATCTTAATCCAGATCTTAACAGACAACAATGAAGAGGCCCTTTTTTCCTAGCTAGCTGTTTCCCCAAAATGTAGTTGTCTAGCAGGTTAATTGCAACATAACAGAAGATGTCATCTGGCTGGCCGCACCATGCGCTGGTGACAGGGACAGGATTACTGTGTTTTGTGCTCAGGTTGCTGGGCTTGCTGGCTGGCTGTGTCCTTCTCTGCAACACGATGCTGAGCATTCTGAGACTCGATTATCTGAGGATAAAAGGGACCTACCAGCCAGTTGAGGGGGGTGTTGTTAACAAGATAATCCATCACATTATCTAAAGACTCCTTCATTTTCTGCAGCTGCCCCTTGCTAGAAGTGAGGAAGCCGTCGGACACTTCTGTGAAGGAGGACGCATTGCGGAACACTGAGTAGATGTCGCCAGCCATCTCCCCCAAGTGACTGGCCTGGTCTTGGATGTTCTGTGGTAACCCTTGGACGTTGGACAGGAGGGTGGAGCACGTGGTCTGCAGCTGCTGAGTCAGGTTTCGTGCAATAGCAAGAGTACGTGACTCAATGTGCTAAAAATAAAACAAGTTTAAAATTAGCAGGGACCCAACAGCGCTATGTATGAACTCATGCAATAACCGTAAGTTATGTGTCCACCACACACATGGATTCCTCAACTTTTCAAAATCCTCATAACAACCCTGAGTGCAGCAGTGTTTTTAGTCACATTTCTACACATGCATACCAGCTTTGGGAACCTGAAGAACCACTTTTAGGTATTGCAACATGCTAATTCTTCTGTCTGAAACATTAGTCCCCTCACTGCCCTTTCACCTAGTTTATTCCCCCGTTCAGTCCCTGCTTGGCATGCACCTCCTCCAGAAAGTCATCTGACTCACCACCCTCACTCCAAGACCAACTTAGGTACTTTTTTTTATAGTCTCATAGTTTCATAGTTCCTGTTTCTATGCTGTCAGAAACACCACCACCTAAAAATGCCAGCATCCCCTCTTAGTCAGCACTGAGGTTAAGGCCCATGTTCTTATTTAGCTGTATCCCACTACAGCAATAGCTGTAGGTTATTCAAGTTACGCAGTTCTGCTTTTTTGTCATGCAACTTTGCTTTGCTTTTCAAACTTTTGCTGGAAAAGAGTATTCTAAGAGGAATAAGGGGAAATTTTGAATAATAAAAGTCTGGTAGAACTTTTAATTCTTAAAGGATTGTGGATGACTTACCTCAGCACAGTGGGATTCATCGGTGTCATCATAGCCGATGCTTTTCTTCCACTCCACCCAGGAGAGAAAGAACTTATCGTGAGCATCCTGAATCCTCTGGTTGGCACACTGCACATTCTCTCTGGCAAATTCAATCTAGAACACATTGAGATAAAACCAAGGAACCAGTCAGACACTCGTGTCAGTCTGTTCTCAGATCTACGGTGTAAATCATAGAACATAAAAACCAGGAATATCCATAAGAATTTAAGGACAGCAATCCCTGCCCTCATTGTTATTTATTATCGAGCAATCGAACTTCTTTACTGCCTCTACTTAAGCTATTAAGCCACTGTCTCCATATTTTCCTCCAGTTTAGCATAGGTAAGGCAACTGAAATGTGACATTAATGTGTAAAGTATAAGGAAAAATTATAAAAAAGGAATTCAAACTTCCCCTTCCCTGTTGTCAGCCATCATTTCCCTTCCCAAGAATGGCAGTGCAGTACATACTGTTCTGGGACTTGGCAATCTTCAATGGCTACACAATACTCTTTTGTGATATATCAATTTAATTAGTTCCCTATTAGTTGCCATGCAGTGTTTATAACCTTCAGCAACTCTAAACATACATAGCTTTAGGATCAATTTCTACAAGGAAAACTGCAGAGGAACAGGTGCGCTTATAAAACTGCTGAGAACTGTCCCCCAAATCCTCCAGAAGTCCACAAGTACACCTCTTTCTCTGCACCCCTGCCCACAGCATCACACTCTGCCCGTGTGTTCGCAAAAGAGAGGCATCTGTCATTTGACCCCTTGGAGTACGATTAGCATCACTTCAGATATTTCAGCTACTTATACTTCCTGTTCTGTGAGTTTCTGTATACTCTCTGCCCATGTTTCTATTGGGTTGTTCATAGGGTAAAGTTTAAAATTCTTGGATTTCATAATTGCATTGACTCTCATCCCTTGAGATAAATCAACTCACTCCAGCTACCTTTAAATGAGCTTTTACCCACCAGGTTAACGGTGGAATGGAGCTGGGAAATGGTCTCCTGGCTTTTTTGCTTAGCTTCCTTCACCCTGCCCAGAGCCTGCTGGTAGGCGCGTGCACGGAGCTTGGTAGACAGCGATCCCAGCCTAACGTAATAACTTGGCTTCTGAACAGACTCAAATCCTTCCACCTTTTTGGCTTCTTTTTCTGAAGTTAGAAAGGGGAAAAAACAAACAAACAAAAAAACATAAGGGATCACAGCTCTAAGTGACAAGGCCTGGACTCTTAATCTGGATCTTGATTTTGGCGCTTCAACCCACCCACCAGCAATTATGCACTCCTTTTCCCAAGACAAATCATGTCTACTGCTAGGCTACCCAGAACATATCACTGCATCTGAAGGTTCATCTACACATGTCTCTGTGAGCTTCTTGGGCAACACAGTACCTGGCAGACAGTAGCCACTAAATGTTTAATGATTCTGTAAAGCAGCCCATTAAAAACTATCCATTTTTAGAATATATTTCTCTAGGTTAACTTCTCTTCAAGTTTCAAAACTTACTAAGTAAAATTCAATGTAAAACTTAATATTGTTTTAAGAAAGAACATCTACAAAGACAGAAAGAGTAGTGGTTGTCTGAGGGAGATTCAGGCATGAGGATCTTTTGGGATGACAGAAATGTTCTAAAACTAAACTGAGGTGATGGTTGTGCAGCTGTAAATTTAGTATGAAAAAGGTGAATTTTTTGGTGTATAAAGTATATCTCGGTGAAGCTGATTTAAGGTAGGCAACACTATTTCAAGACACAAAAACATTTACCTAGTTCTTCCTCGGTGAGAGGGAGGTACTGGTCTACCAGCAGCTCTGATGTGCTGAGCGCATTTTCCACTCCACTGCTCACCAGCTGCATCATCCGACTGCCCATGACCGTGTTAATGCTGTCATTCACCACAGACTTGGTCTTCTCCACACTGCCTGTAACGGCTTCTTTGGTCTTGTCCACCACCCCGGTGATCGTGCTGGTCACGGAATCCTTGGCTCCAGTCACGGTGGTCGTCACAGCATCTTTCGCCCCAGTCACTGCACCTCTGGCATTGGCAACAACCTACGCACGGAAAAGGAGAGCACTTGGCTGATGAGAAACAAGGACATGAATAGATATTTAAGGTTTTAACTAAGGCAGCATAGTTGAAGAGTTAAAGAAGGACTAGGAGACCAGCTAGTGTAGCTCATTGGTTGAATATTGACCTATGAACCAGGAGGTCACAGTTTCATTCCCGGTCCGGGAACATGCCCTCATTGCAGGCTTCTTCCCTAGAAGGGAGTACGCAGAAGGTAGCTGATCAATGATTCTCTCTCATCATTGATGTTTCTCTCTCTCCCTCTCCCTTTTTTTTTTTTTAAATCAATAAAAATATATTTTAAAAAAAAGAAACTAAAAGCAAAGTTTAAAAATTTGTCAATATGTTACAGGCAGATGTGCCTGTTTCTTCATCTTATTGGATATGTTCTCAGACACCAAGGAGAAAGCTTCTATATATCACCTGTGCATTTACCGAACACCACATGGGAACCAGTTATGCTAAACAAATAGAACATGAAAATATGAGATGTAAAGCCTCAACACTCTTGTCCCAAGCTCACCTGCTTTGTTGGCTGATTCAGTATAGGCAGTTTCTCCTCAATCCTGTCTAGTCCCATACAGGCATAGTTATTGGCAACAGCAACTAAAAAAAGATCACAAATGGGGAAAATGTTATTAGTGTATGTATAGAATGAATACATATTATTATACCATAAACATTTAGTTATAAAAAAAGCAAAATCACTGATCTTCATTTATCACACTATGCATTGCCAATGTCTCCAGCTCAGACAGGAAGAGGCTCGGGAAGCTGGCAAGTTCTCCTACTGACAGGGAAATAAGGGGGTGGGAGAGCAGCAGGCAAGCCAGGGAGGAAGCTGGCTAAGAAGTTTCTTCCTCATCCCCTGGCTCCTGAGATTAGAGCCCAGAGGAGCCAGGCTTCACCTGAACCCTCATTCTGAGAACTCTCAAAATCAGCATTGCCATGCTGGTTTAACACTACCTACACTTAATTCAGTATGTGGCAATGGAGAGTGGTATGCTGACAGCACTCTGGATCTCCTTAGTAAGGCCTAGATTTTAGTCCAACCTTCCCTCTAATGATGACCAAGCCAAGCGCTAGTCCTAAATTCATTTGGGAAGTAGCAGAGCTGGAAAACTGGTCTCTAAAGGTTCTTTATATTCCAGAAAGCTCATGACTTAACCATTTGGGGGAATGATTTCATTCAAAAGGGTTCATGTGGAAAATCTTAATATACTATTAGTGGGAAAACAAAATTATAAGCCATTTTGGAAAACAGCCTGGCAGTTTCTCAAAAGCTGAAATAGTTAATGACCTAGCAATACCACTCCCAGGTATATTGATAGCCCAAGAAAACTGAGAACATGTGCCCACACAAAAACTTACACACAAATGTTCACAGTAGCATTATTCTTACCGCCAAAAAGCAAAAGCACCCAAATGCCCATCGACTGATGAATTTAAAAAATGTTTTAAAAATAAATAATAAATATTTATTATTTAATAAATATTTTATCTAATCACACAATGGGATATTATTCCACAACAAAAAGGAATGAAACACTAATATAATGTGCAACTATCACACCTATCATTCCCAGAACTTTTTCATCATCCAAACAGAAACTGGCATAAGATTCCTTTTTGGGGTGATAAAAATGTCCTAAAATTTATGGAGGTGATGCTTACATTACTCTGTAAATATACTAAAAAAACATTGACAATATATGTTAAGTGGGTGAATTGTATGGTCGTTAATTATATGTCAAAAAGATGTTATTATTTATTTTTAAAGCAGTTCATGTACACTGTCAGGTCCCAAAGAAGTTAATTTCAACTGACAAACTGGCTCTTCTTGTGACCTCAGTTGCCAACACAGAAGCATGTGTGGAGGATTTTTAAAAATTTATCATGAGTCCCAGCCAGTTTGCTCAGTGGGTAGAGCGTCAGCCTGCGGAGTGAAGGGTCCCCAGTTCCATTCGGGTTAAGGGTGCATGACCAGGTTTCGGGCTCATTCCCAAGTAGGGGCATGCAGGAAGCAGCCAATCAATGATTCTCTCTCCTCATTGATGTTTCTATCTCCCTCTCCCTTCCTCTCTGAAATAAATAAAAATGTTTTTAAAATAAATAATAATAAATAAATAAAGTGATCATGAGCATCTGCCATTGCTAGGAAGCAGACGTTCTATAACAAAGAGGGTCACCTGGCAGCGTATTGACAAAGGCAGTACAAGCCTCAGGAAAGGCTAAAGATTCTCTGTGTGCTCGGAGCATTCACCATATTCAAACCAGCTCCAGGCTCGCTCCTAACAGGCCCCTTGGACTAAATCTGGAGTGGGAATCACAACTCACTTTGTGGCTCTAGCTTCTGGATGATGGGCTGAGCACTCATCACTGCCACAGACGTGATGGTCTTCACACCCTTCTCCGCCATCTCACACACAGACTTCAAGCAAGGATACTGATCCTTTGTAGTGACATAGGCCGAGGAGACCAGGTCGTATGTGGAGCTCACCAAGGGCAGGTTGGCCACCCTGGTCACCACACTCTGCAATCAAGATGGGGAAGGGGATTAACTTCCCAAAACACAAGGGGAGGGAAAGGAATCAAGAAACAGCTGTCCAAAATTCATACCGGTTGTGGGTCAACTGCAACAGAAACCATTTTTCTTCCTGGGGAGAGGAGAGATCTGTGGAAGAGAAATTTATTTCAGGTCACTAGGATAAGACTCTCCCAGATCAATTCCCCAACTCAAGCACGTGCTAATTTCAAGCAGAGAAAAATTCAAGATGAGGTAAGCATAGTCTTCTGTACTTTTTCCCACCCTCTAGCTCCGAGAGCTCTCCCCTGGCAAACACTGGGCAAAGTTTCAGAGGTCCTGTGTGAACTTCCAATATTAAACAGGCTCTGCAGGGAGAAGTTGCAGATATTTTTGTCTCGTTTCTTCAGCAGGATACTAAAAATGCCTTTTGAAGTGGGGGATATCTGTTCACAGAAACGCTAACTAAGTTAAAATACATGTTAAGGCCAGCCAGTGTGCTCAGTGGTTGGGCATCTACCTATGAACCAGGTCAGGGTGGTCAGGGCACATGCCGGGTAGGGGGTGTGCAGGAGGCAGCCGATCTATGATTATCTTGCATCATTGATGTTTCTTTCTCTCTTTCACGGTGAAATTATATATAGATATAGATATAGATATATTTTTTAAATCCATGTTAAGCCCTAGCTGGGTTGGCATAGTGGATAGTGCGTTAACCTGCAGACTGAAGGGTCCCTGGTTCGATTCCCATCAAGGGCCCTTGGCTAGATCCCCAGGGGGGGCTGTGCAGGAGGCAGCCGATCCATGATTCTCTCTCATCATTGATGTTTCTATCTCTCTCTCTCCCTCTTCCTTCCTCTCTGACATACATAAAATAAAAACGAGCGTGATAATCACTTAAATAAATAAATAAAAATCCATGTTAAAACTAAGGAGAGATTTCAAGCGGAAGGCATCTTGGACAGGCAGGACCGCGTGGGAGCACTTCGCCGGGGATTCGCTCCTTCCCTGTAAAGAAGAACTAGTTTGGTGGTGACTAAGCAGAGGAGGAAGGATGTGCTCCGGGGAACTGAGAAACGTTACAGGAGCTTTAAAATGTCGCGTTCCCAACGACCCACACCCGCACAAAACTGCCTCACGGCCCGGCCACAGGGCTGGGACGCTGCAAGAAGCTGCACAGCCCACTGCCCACGACCCCCAGGCCACTCAGCTCCCCCTCCGCCCCCCCACCCCACCCCCGGGTCCCAGGCGGACCAGGACAGGGGAGCCGCGCCGAAGACGGAGGGAGGCGCCAGCACCCACGGCCCCGCACCCACGGCCCCCCACCCACGGCGCGCCGCATACACCTCGGTTTTAAGACGCAGTTCTAATACATTCCTCTTAAATCCTGTCCTTTCGGGACAGATGAGAAATGTTACCCCGCAACCACGCCCAGAAGGTCGAGTGGCTGGCAGAAAAGAAGACTCCAGGAACAAAAGCAAGTGCGGAAGGCGCAGGCCCAGGGCCCCTCCCAGCCAGCGCCCAGGCTTGGGGGGACCCCGGGCCACCACCCCGCCGGCCAGCCTAGAGCCCGCGGGGTGGGGGGAGGAGGGACCGGCCAGCCCGCAGGTCTCCGAGGGGCGCGCACCCACCGACGACAGCAGGGAGGAGGCGAGGATCGGACGAGTCACGCACTCAGGGCTCCAACGACACCTAGGACGTTGGGAGAGCGGGGCGCGGACGCCCCATTAAATACCCGCCGGCCCCGCCCCGCCCCGCCCGCGGCACGTGACCCGCGGCCCGAACCCGAGCCCCGCGGCCCCGCCCACTGGCGCCCTGGGCGGAGACCCGGCGCCTTCCCCCACCGCCGGCCGGGGGGCCGCGCCTGGGTGGAAGGGGTGCCCGGCCCGGGGAAGGGGTGCCCGGCCCGGGTGGGGGGTGCCCGGCCCGGGTGGGGGTGCCCGGCCCGGGGAAGGGGTGCCCGGCCCGGGTGGGGGTGCCCGGCCCAGGGGAGGGGTGGCCGGCCCGGGTGGGGGGTGCCCGGCCCGGGTGGGGGTGCCCGGCCCGGGGAAGGGGTGCCCGGCCCGGGTGGGGGTGCCCGGCCCAGGGGAGGGGTGGCCGGCCCGGGTGGGGGGTGGCCGGCCTGGTTGGGTGGCTCAGCCGGAGGGAGGGCTCGAGCTGAAACGCGTGCGGCTTTTTGCAAAAGACTACGGAGGAGACACAAGTAAACACTACCCTGATTACCGTTGATCCTCAAAATAGAAGAGTGTGTTTTTAAACAAAAGTGAGCAATGATTCCACACTCATTTTTAGCAAGCAAAAAACGTCCAGTTTTGTGACATTCTAACCCGAATTGTGACCAGACCTACAGAGATTTGGTTCACTGTTCTTGGGACTTGAAAGTCAATTCCTCATACAGGTTTCCATTTTATTACATTAAAAAAAATGTTTTTACTGATTTTAGAGAGGAAGAGAGAGACAGAAACATCAATAATGGGAGAGAATCACTAATCCGCTGCCTCCTGCACCCTCCGCCTCCCCCACACCAACTAGGATGGAGCCCCAAACCGGGGTACAGTATATGCTCTCCACCAGAATCTAACCCCGGGCCCTTCAGTCCTCAGGCCAACGCTCTAGCCGCTGAGCCAAACCAACTAGGGTATATGTTTCCATTTTAAAGTTGAATTGGAATTTCCAAATGGGGCCTTGAATACTTTAGATTGGTCCCCGTTTTGTTTTTTGTTGTTTTCTCAGCAAAATACTCCCAACATCTGTCTATGTTATGCAAGATGACTAATTTTTTTAAGTGGTGGGTTATGTATTATTTTATTTTTAAAAAGAAACTTAAATCAACATCTGAGTCTCAGGATTTTCTTGTGTAAAAATTCCTGACTTCAACCTGATTATTTGAGCAAACAGGTTGTGCCACTGGCCGGGACCGGGGCAGGTGTTCCGGGACTTCTGCCCCAGTGAGTGTTGGGGAACCTCCAGGTGACGTGGCCGCAGGTGTCCCTGACCCCCGGGGGCAGCCCTCCGCCTCCAGCCTCCGGGATGGAGAGCCAGGGGAGACAGCGAGTTGTGAAAAGCCTTCAAAGGTCTTCAGCTCAATTACTCAACTAATGTTGCATGCACATAGATACTGTTTATCGTATTTAAAGCTCCAAACTGACCATTAAAAACGTGTCAGATTACATCTGCAGGCTCTCAGCAAAGAAAAACAATTACGGCATTTCTCTTTCTCCCTCCCCATGTAGCTCAAGATTAAATATGAGACTAAACTATCAAATAAATGTTGGGAAGTCCAAAAAAGTTGTTCCCCCCTCACCCCCATGTGACTGACAGCTTCAATGCTTTAAGCAATCAAATGACCACCTTTTTCTTTTCTTTTCGGTGCTCTGGCTTTCTTGGTGCTCTGAGCAGATGTTTGGTGTGCCTATCATTATTTTACCTCTGCCCTAAGACACAGGAATGTACGGAATGGTGGGTGTGGTTTTGTGTGTGTGTGTGTGTGTGTGCGCATGTGTTTTACTTCTCACTGATCTGACCTATTTTGCAATAGACTCTTGCCCTTTCACCTACAAATTCCCTTGCCCTTTCACCTCCATAGCCCCCACCCCTCTTTTTCTCTTTTTTTTAACTTGTGAGTCACTTGTCCTCTTTAAAGGATGAGCAATGTCCTTTTGCTTTTCTGTTACATCACGGGGGATGAAGCCCCAAATTCTCCACTTGTAGCTCTCATCTTCATGAGTCTGTGAGAGGGTGGAGCTGGTGGCAAGAACGGTACCTAAGTCCTCAGGGCGATTTTGATAGTCTCTAGGACAGCAATTTTCATCCTTTTCATCTCATGGCACATATACACTAATTACTAAAATTCTGTGGCACACCAAAAGAATTTATATTTTTTGCCAATCTGGGGGGAAAAAAAAAAAAAAAAAGAGGTGTAATTTTGTTTTGTTCATACCAGATGGCTATTGTGTGGCTGTTGTCATTTTTAAAAAATATATATTTTATTGAGTTTTTAGAGAGAGGAAGAGAGAGGGATAGAGACATCAATCAGCTGCCTCCTGCACACCTCCTACTGGGGATGTGTCTGCAACCAAGTTACATGCCCTTAACTAAGGTGACCAGACGTCCCGCTTTTGGCAGGACAGTCCTGATTTCTAACAATTTGTCCCGCGTCCCGTATTATTTTAAAAAAGTCCCGATTTTTTGAAAGAATGCACGACAAGCTAGAGAACAGCAGGAGAACAGGAAGGGAATATACGGTTTTCGGTGGCCATGTGGCTATTTAGTCAGGATGAGTTTTATATTATTTTTCTTAATTTTTATAATGTTAAACTTTAATAATAACAAATAATTGTTGAGAACTGATTATCGAGAACTGCTTATCAAAGTTCGCATTGTTGATCAGTTGTTAGAATTCGACCACCATTGTTTGGACTTAATGAACAATGGCATTTTTTGGGATTGGCAACGACAAAAACATTTTGTAACTGTCTCTCAGATGATACATATCATACTGTGTGCTAGTAAGCTAGTTAAACAAGTGATGTCATTACAAATCAACTATTCAGATAATTTAGGTAAGTAACTTATGTATTTATTTCATAAATACATAAATTTTCTTGAATTTAGCAGACAGTACTCATATTATTTATATTTTATAGTGGAGGCAAAAAGTCTAGCGCTGGCCTTGAAAGTGACACCACTATACATAATTTTTATTTATTTATTATATTTGTAAATTATACTTATGTTGAAATTTTTAAAAATATATTACAATACTATTTTTGCGTTCTATGAAAATTTTTGTTGCTCCATATAGACCAAATTGTGTGTGTGTGTGTTTTTTTACTTCTCACTAATCTGACCTATTTTGCAATAAGACTCTTGCCCTTTCACCTACAAATGCCTCCATTGCCCCCACCCCTCTTTTTTCGAAATGACAGAACTTTTTTTTTTTAAATAAATAAATGGGAGATAGCTACGTAACCAGGAAAAGACATATGTCAAGTCCCACGTAACCTGAGGCCTGCCTGTATATATAAAAGCCTAAGTGACCAAACGACCAGTCAGCCTGTTGCTATGACATGCACTGACCACCAGGGGATATACAATCAACACAGGAGTTGTCTCCAATGGTCAGTGTGCTCCCACGGCCAACCTCAGCCGGTGAACCTCCCTCAGTCCCCTTTCCCCCTCCCCCTCCACCAACTGGCCCCAATTGGCCCCAATCGGGAATGGGAGGGACAGCCCCTTGGTCCCGATCCCTGGCCAGGCCAAGGGACCTCACCTGTGCACAAACTCATGCACCGGGACTCTATTTGTTATACAATATCCTCAATCTTTTATTTTGAAATATTTTAAGCTCCACAAAAGTTGAAAAGTAATACAATCATGGTTCTATTCCCAGTCAGAGCACATGCCCAAGTCAGAGCATATACCCAGTGTGGGGTGTGCAGGAGACAGCCAATTCTCTCTCATTGTTGATGTTTCTCTCTCCCTCTCCCTCTCCTTCCTCTCTGAAATTAATTTTTTTTTAATTTTTTTAAAGTTATTTCTGGAGACAAATCTTATTATGGGCAAGGTCCCTAATTTAAATTCTTTAAGGGAGATATAAAAGTTTCTAATGAGCCTGCTGTCTGCTCAAAAGAATTCACATGCCACAGTGACCCATTTGGAAAGGACTGTTCTGAACCCTCACACCATCTGGCAAACTCTGCTCACTCTGTTCGACTCAGGTCTTCATGTCTGTAAGGTCTTCCTCAGCCCTAAGCTCACAGACAAGTAAGTGGCTTCAAACCAGGCATATATGACAATTAATGCTGCACACTTCTGCATGGCGTTTGCTCTTAAGTGATAAATACAAGTGACTCTCATAGGCCTCAGAGCCTGGAAGATAAAGGAGTAAGAGCATATCTAGGGTTCCTTCCAGTTGTATTATCTTATTTCAAAAAATAATACTTGCCTTGTTTATAGCTTTACAATGCCCTTCTTTAAACATTATCTCAAATGAGACAGATGCCTTTTCCTACTCCCTTGTCACAGCCTCATGCAAACGCAAGGGAAATATTACTATGTCCATTTCCTCTTTTTACCTGAGCTAGGAAGCTACCTTTCTCATGGATCAGAGACAAAAATAATGGGTCACAAGTAATGAGTCATGAGGCCAGATGACATCTGTTTTGACTACTTCAAACTCCATGCAAACTGGTCACCAGCAGGAAAAATCTCTTGGATGACCCACTAAATCTACCTTCCTAATCACCCCTGAACCTGATTCTCTGCCATTCTAGTTTTTATAATCCTCACCTGAGAATATTTATTGATTTTAGAGAGAAAGTGCCAGGGCTGACCAGCAGACCCTGAGTAATGGATGAATGATTACTCTGGCACAGGATTGCTGTGAAAGAGAGGGCTAAGGGACTGCCTGGCTAAAGGAACCAGACAGCTCTATTGCCTGCCTCTTCAGGCTTTTATTGTAATAGTGATTTGAGATAAAGTTTATCTTTTAGATATAAGCAGTAGGGTAAGTAATCTTGGGAGGACACATGTGTCTGCAGTGTCCTTTAAGCAAGGACAACCGAGAGGTTAAGCATAAAGATTCCAGTAAACACTCAAGGGTCCACAGACTTGTTTGGAAAGGTCAAGGAACAATTAGGGGCAGCCATCTTTAGCCAAACTCCCCTAAGTTGGAATTCTGATAAACAGGGCAGCTGCTTTCAGCCCA